TCCTGTCAGCCTATGACTTTTCTTTAATTCACAAACCTGGCAAAGAAATGGGCCATGCTGATGGCCTCAGTAGATTACTCTTACAAGTAGTAGAGGCTGACCCTGCCCTGGCAATCAACATCCTTTCAATTCAGGCACTGCCTGAATCACCTCTAAATGCCAGGGATGTGGCTGCTGAATCAGCGACAGATCTCACACTCTTTCGTGTCTTATCCTGGGTTTTTTCTGGATGGCCAGAGAGTTGTCCAGGCACTGAGTTTCAGAGTTTCTGGCTGAAAAGGAACGAGTTATCCACTTTCCAGGGTTGTCTGCTGTGGGGCAGCAGAGTTGTCATTCCTACCTCAATGAGGTCTAGGGTCTTAGGTTCCCTTCACAAGGGTCATCCTGGCATTGTACGAATGAAGGCGCTTGCGCGCAGCCATTTGTGGTGGCCTGGGTTAGACAAGGAAATTGAGGCTAAGGTGCACGCTTGCCACCTTTGTCAGCGCTCACGCCCAGAAATGCCTCAGGCTCCTGTGCATAGATGGGAAGAAACACAGTCTCCATGGTCTAGGGTGCACATCGATTACGCTGGGCCCTTTCAGGGTCAATTCTTCTTGGTCCTGGTTGATAGCTATTCAAAATGGCTTGAGGTTGTACCTGTCTCTTCCACCACCACTGCAAAGACTATCCAAGTACTGAGGGGGATTTTTGCTGCACATGGGCTTCCAGATGTTTTGGTGTCTGACAATGGCCCTCAATTCACTTCTTCTGAATTCCAAGCTTTCTTACAGGCCAACATGATTCATCATGCCACCTCTACGCCCTTCCACCCTTCCACCAACGGGATGGCTGAACAGATGGTCCGCATCACCAAGGATGCTTTAAAGAAACTGACCTATGGGGACTGGCATCACGGGTTGGCTGACTTCCTCCTTGCTTACCGCACTACACCTTCCACTTCTACGGGGAGAAGCCCAGCTGAACTTCGTTGGGGGCGCAAACTGATTACTAAACTTGACTGGTTGCACCCGGGCAGACTGCCTCCTAGGGATACACAACCCAGGGCACTGAGGCAATTGCAAGTGGGTGCCCCAGTATGGACCCGTAACTACGGGCCAGGTCACTTGTGGGTTCCTGCCCTAGTTTGCAAGGTTACAGGCCCCTTGTCCTACGAGGTCTCCTTGGATGACGGTTGTATCCTGCGACGGCATATCGACCAGCTGCATACAAGACTGGACTTACCTTCAGAGTCTCCTGGATCTGGGGGAGGGGAGGGGACCCCTTTGGGCAAAGGGAGGGGTGTTGGCAGCAACCAGGCCCCAACAGAGAGGCCACAGACGGCCTATCACAAGATTCCGCAAGTGTTCCGAACAGGAATTCAGGGGAACCAGCTAGCACACAGGCTACAGTGCATACTCCCGCCAGGGAGTCACCCCGGGGGCATAATCATTACACACTTACACCTTTCAGCACTCCAGTCAGGGAGAATAACCGGGAGCATCCTAATAACCCAAACATTGCAAGAGAGCTGGCACACACTCAATGCAATTGGCCCAACATTGCTACTGTCCCCAGAAAAGGACATTCTCATAGGGAAGTGATAGAAGGGCCAAATCCAGATCTTGAACCCTCTGGTTCAACGGAGGGGGCAACTGAGTTTTGGGACAGTACTGAAATAACAGACAGTCCTACTATGGAACTGGGGAGTGGAGGAAGGCAGTCTCACGCTAGGTCCAGTGTGGGCCTGAGAGACTCTTCAGAGTTGCCCAACAATGGCAGCATTCCAGAGGGGCCAGGACACCTACAACTAGGCAGGTCAACCAGGTTAGAGAGAGAGCAAAGTCCTGGTCTAACGAGCCCGGTGGGCAAGCAAGCAGGCCAGGCAACGGAGCATGCTCCACGGGGGCCACCAGGGTCTGAGAAAGGGGGTGAACCTATAGCCTCCTCTGGACAAGGTGTACCTGGAAATTATCAAGGTCTATGCAGATCACAGAGAGATAAGAGGTCTCCCAAATATCTTGAAGATTTTATAACTGGCCAGGCAGAAACAATAAGAGTGTGTTTCTGTGGAAGCCAGAAAATGGGACACTGGGAAGTAATGCCCAGAACAATAGCATGGTACCATTGAGCAAGGGTGTACACACCACGCTCGTGTTGAGGTCGCGTGTTATTATTCATGTAGTCTTAACCAGGGGGAGAAGGGGTGTTGTGTCCTGAGGCTCGGGATGTTGCAATGGTCCTGGGCAGTTGCAAGCTGCCCGGGACCAGACTGCCTGGCGCCAGCGCTCGTGCGCATGCGTGAGGCGCACAGCGCGCCTAAATGTTGCTTTTGGGCCGGGAATTGTCTTTAAGAGAGGCTGAGAGGTTTGTTCTACTCAGAGTTGTAATGACCAATAAAGAGTTCCTGAAACCATAAGAATGTCTCGCGCCGTCATTGCCATTAACCGAGGACTCAACAGAGACTTTGCTGATTTCCTGGCTGTGACAAATGAAGCAAAAATGTATACACGTTTATAATATTTTAGATTTTATATTTCTTATTTTGGATTTTTATCTCTTGTGCTTTTATCAAAATGTGATGTGAATGTGCCATATGATAAATGATAATATTGTTATAACCAAAGGTCGGAACATGTCATGGGCCCTAAAATAATAGTAAAATGAGGTAAAATAAGGTAACAATTGGCCTGGGGACCCAACTTGGGACTATCATGCTGGTTGATAGATTAAGAGAAGATCCCACCTTCCCCCGTGCATCCTGCTATCTTGCTCGCCATCTTTTAATTGTTTTAATTTGTTATCAAAATATATTTAATTATACAGTTTTATTGCTTTAAAATGTTGCAAGAGGCCCAGAATCTTTTTGAAGTGAGACGGATGGAAAACACATCAAATCAAATCAAATAAGTAAACAAATAAATAAAGCATTAGATGTAAAATGAAAGTTAGATAAAAATAAAGCCAAGGCCAAGAACTTAAATATGCCCTGAAAGCCCTCCCTTTGTCTTAATTTAATATATTCTTTAATATTAATATTATATAATATTAAATTTTTAACATTTTAACATTTCTTTAATCATCCTTGTCTCTTTTTAAATGTTAATATATTGATTTACGTTTTTATATGTTGTTAAATGTTAATTTAATAAATTTAATTAATTACATTAAATTGTCAATTAAATTATTAAATTTAATTAAATTAATAAACTGCCCACTACCCATGGGCAGTTCCAAAATTGATTGATTGATGAAATAAATAAAAACAAATAAATGTTTTCCCCCTCAGAGGTGAGGCTGGACTCCACTCTCTTGGCTTTTAAGAAATGTCCAAAGACTTGGCTCTGCTGATTAATTATGGAGTTGGCAAGCACCTTGAAGGTGCTACTTTGTGTTTTTTATTCTGAATTGTAAATATTTTCTTCTTTAATCTGCCTTATATTTTTTTTATTTATTCCGCTTTTATGTTTTTAAGACTTATTTGTACACTGCCCAGGGACACTCCATCAGGGAGATGAATGGTTTCTAAATGTAATAAAGAAATAAATTAAAATTCTTCTTTGTTCCATGAGGAATCTCCTCTCTCCTTTTCCTCCTGATGTTAATGCTAGGTTGTTGTATCTTTCAAATTTTAGGAAAGCATGCTGGCTGGTGAAAGCCTATGTGTCTTCCTCAGACCTTTCATGCAAAACAAATATGGCTGCTTTAAAATAAAAGGGAGGGCAACTGCTATATTCGCCATCCCTGTGGTAAAAAAATGACTGGATTGACCCCAGACCCAATGAGACCTCACACCGTCTCTTTTTCCTTTTGTCTCTTTCCATTTTATTATACAAAAGATTCCTTTTATTAGAAATAAAGTGGTATGCTTCTCTTCATTTTACAGACCTGTATTTATACCTTATTTCTGGGCTCATATTAAACTGACAAAATCTATTCAACTCTTCTCCCTTGGCCAAATATAATGCTTATTTACATTTTCCTCTAGATTTATATTGTTGCGTCCCCCTATTTTTAGTTTTAGGTTTTTTTAAAATAATCCCGGCTTTGTTGTTTTTTATAAATAATTCAAGGCGACTGTGATACTGTATCCTCCGTCCTCCTTCTATTTTCCCCACAACAACAACAACCCTATGAGGTAAATTGGGTTAAGAGAGAACTGGCCCAAAGTCACCTAGTTGATTTTCATGGCTAAAGTGGAACTAGAACTCACAGCCTCCTGGTTTCTCAGCCAGCATCTTAATCTCTACCTGAAACTAGTTCTCTGTGTTGTATTAGATATCCTGTTTTTAACATGTTTCCTCAGAAGCATTACAATGATTCTTTGCTTGTTTCTATTTTGGTTTTTGTGCTTTTTCCCCATACTTCATATTCTATTTCCAGAACATTTTCAGCTGTCTCTATCTCTGTGGGCCTTTTATTTCCACTTCTGTGGAGTTTTTCTGTCTTTCTTCATAAATGATGGATAGCGAACCAGTCTTTTCTTCTTTTCTTTTTTCTATTTAAACTGAAGAAAATGTCAGGGAGGGGTTTTTCCAGGTCATTTGTTTGGCCTTCTTTCTGAGTGAGGGAGAGCCCCCATTTTCTCTGCAGCTGCCATCCCCATTTTCCTCAGCATGGTTTATTTTTATTTATTTATTTATTTACAAACTAGTAGTTGGCACCACAACACCAAATACATAATGATGAATTTCAACGAATCCATTGTGTTAAAAGCAAAACAGTGTTTCCCCTTTCCTCATCCTTGAAGATGCCTTTTTTGAATTATTTCTGAAGTACTGCAACTCTAGTTATTGTTTTTATTGCATTTTTGCATTGAGCTCTGTGTGTTGTAGGCATTTTCTGAATAATAGATTGTCCTCAGCACGTAAAGCACAAAGTGACCTATTAATCAATTTGCAAAATCAATTTGCTACATTTATTTAATAAACTCCCTGAAGATTTTTTCAAAGACACAAAAAAGAGAAAATTTAATGTTATGTATTACAATGTAATGAATGTACAAATAGAGGCCTGAAAGAACAGGTTAGGGATACATTATCATGGAGAAAATCTATCTATGCAGTCACTAGAGATAAAAATGACTTCATGGCACATAATCAAAAATGTTATGCATTGGAAAGAACCAATATTGTACATTAAATTAGTAATATCAAACAAGGAAGAATTTGTCAGACAATCATCACAGACCCAGCAATCCAATCCATCAAAGATGTGATTCAAGTTTTGTGAATTTCTACTCAAGACTGAATTGGGCAAGTCAAGATGGACTTCACAAAGGGATAAATTTATTGTAAAATCGGAGTGCGCTATCCATAATTAGAATTTATGATGTCTTGCGGTGAGGAACAGCACGGATTTCGTAAGAATGAGGATATGTTGTCAATCCAATTCTAGGTTTTTCACTGGTTTTTTTCTCTCCTTCTGGTAACTGGAAGACGAATGCTTTGAGCAGGTTTATAAAGAAGATAAAGAACTCAGCTCTTGATAATTTATCTGCTAAAGACCCATCTGACTCTGTGGAGGAAATGGGAAGTGTAATTACAAAATAATCATGAAACAACAATTAACAATAACATTGAGAAAGGAAGGTATTTGAAGTTACAATATACTAAATTACCTTCCTAACCATCTTAATACCCTTCTCTGCCTCCTCTTTTATCATCTCGCCTGGCACTGCTCCAAGAACTGGCTGTGACGTGACATAAGTAATTTTTTCTTAATATATGAAGACCATCTTCATTCTCCCAATATGCTTAAGCTTATTCTTGAATTGATCTATTGCATAACTTCACACAATACAGATAGTCCTTGACTTACAAACGCAATTGGGAGCAGAATTTCCATTGCCAAGCAAGGTGATTGTTAAATGAGTCATGCCTAATTTTACAAGTCACTGCACATGGTCATTAAATGAATTTAGCTTTCTCCATTGACTTTGCTTGTCGAAAACTGGCTGGGTAGTTCGCAGGTAGCAGTCACATGACCCCAAGACATTGCAATTGTTGTAAATACATGCCAAGGAGTGATCATAGCTCACTTTTTTCAAATATTCTCTAAATAAATGGTTGTAAGTCAAGGACCACCTGTACATTGAACTATAAATTAAACCAATCATCTGAATTCACCTCACATACTAAAATCAGTAACCTAAATTTACATTAACCGAGTTTCACACTTCATACAAATGTAGCCATTATGTCTCAATGTGCCTGTTAAAAGTATTGTACAAACAGCCAATTCAAAAATCCAAATTCAAATCCAAAGCAGCATCTTGTCAATAATTATCATATGTTTTTATTATTAAGCTAGCAGTTCTAAAGCCCAGTTCATGCACTTCTAGGATATAATGGTAGAAATTTAATTCCAGCTTACCGTGCATAGTATTAATTCATATGAAGAATGATTTGTAAGTTATATATCTATAGTGTGTTGGGAAAATCTAGCCAGACTATGATTCATTCAGTGAAAAATAATTTAGTATGACTAATGAATCTTGTGTTATCCCTATTTTTGCACTACACAAAAAATTGTTCTTTCACTAGCCAAGTTATAGAATGTTGAAAAAAATGCAACTTCTGTATAAGAAACAGATAAGTTATGGACTCACAATTGATCTCCAGTTCCTACTGCATGGACTAAATGTGCCTTTTGTCTTTCAAAACAAAACACAACTTTCCTATTTAAAATAAAAATCACACCATCTATATGATAATAAACCACTTTTATATTTACCATCAGCAAGGAGTTGATATTGTTTTTTGTCAACAAATTGTCCATCCTTGTCCAAAAAATGACTTGGGTTGAATTTTTCAGGTGTCTCCCATAGTTTGGGATCAAGTAATGCTGAATCCAGATCTGGGTTAATAAATGTTCCCTGAAAATAATTTTTTAAAAAAGTTGATTCAATGCATCCAAACTATCCCGTTTCAAATTCCTTTCTCACTTTCACCAGTTTCTGAGCATTTTCACACAGTATGTACAAACATAAGAATTTGAAACTATTCATAGTCTATTTCTGTGGCACATCTTAAATCAATTTGTGTGCCTCTCATGAAACAGAGATAACAAAAACTCATTCTGGACATGAATAAAGTAATATACTGTTCCTGGGTATTTTTTTAAACATCATAAAATCCATGAGCTATAGGCAGCCACTGTTGAAAAGAACAGGAAGCTACATGGAAATTTCAGTACAGCTTCACTGGAAGTCTCAGAGGGTCATCTGAGATGCTTCAATGAATGCTGTACTAAGAGGGTCTTAGATTAGATGTCTACAGTTGGAGTAAGGTACTTTACAACTCTAAGATTTTATGGAAAGAAAAAACCAATATCTGATCAGGAATTTCTATTCATGAGGTTTGAGTTACTATTGGATTACTATTTCTATTTTAGAAAGTTTGAAACATATCACTGTTTCTTCTTGACATGAATCTCATTATTGATGCAATAAGGCTATGGTTTTCTTTTCTTTTTACCATTCTTTAATCCAGTGTTTCTCAACCTTGACAATTTTAAGGCATGTGGACTTCAATTCCCAGAATTCCACAGCCAGCAATGCTGGCTGTGGAATTCTGGGAGTTGAAGTCCACATGCCTTAAAATTGTCAAGGTTGAGAAACACTGCAGTTTAATCCCTATATTCAGTGTGGAGTCGGGGGAACTGAATAGAGTTGAGCGTTTACTGGCTGAGGGCATCCAGGCTTACTCTGCCTTCCCAGAGTTTGCAGTAGATATTTTCTCTTTGCGCCCTGATAGAGAAACATCTGCTACGGCCTAGGACTGAACTCTTAACCTTCCAAGTGGGAGGCGAACATCTTCACCTCTAAGTCACTGTGCTGCTCAAGGGCTATGAATTGTTATTTATTTAAAATATCTATACAGTAACCCATTTTGCATGCCATAATCTTGTAAATTAAAGATCAAAAACCCATACAGTTATAACAAAAACTCCAAGCATCCCTAAGACAAACACTCTTCCACCCTTCATTGTTCAATTTTGCTTGCCCTACCTCAATGTTTGTGGAAAGAGCCATTTTTTCAAGGCCTTCAGGAAGGCTAGGAAGATAGGGGCCTACTGGATCTTGGGGAAGGACCACTACAGAGCCATAGGCAGAATACATAGGAGCCATTTATTCATTCATTTATTCAGCCACTCATTCACTCATTGCTATATTATCACTCTTCTATACCTTGGGAGCAAGAAAACCAAAGATATTCACATTCTTTGCACATTGTTTGATAATTCTGAATAAGAATGCATGTTTGGTTCGCTGAATCTCGTAAATCACAGCACTGGTATAAGGTAATTTCTTCCAATCTTGATGGCCAACTGCATTTGAAGAACCCAAAACCTTTTCTATCTCCTTATGGACTTTATCTGAAAAAAAAATGAAAGGGGGGGGACATTTTACATTGGGAAATGCTTGTTGCTATGCCACATTTGTAAAGTAAGGCAGGCCTGGTTAGGTTTTATCCCCATAACAACAACCCTATGAAGCTTGGACTGAAAGAATATCACAGAGCAAAGTCAGTGAAGGTGGATTTGAATCTGGGTCTTTTGGGTCCTTTACCATATGCCAACGTTTGTTGCTACATGATGCCAAAACCAGAATTTCTCAGGCTAATCGTTCCCAGATGGATAATCACACAGCTCCCATAATTTAAAGCCAATTTTGTTGTTGTTGTTAATTGCAAAGTCGTGTCCGACCCATCGCGACCCCATGGACAACGTTCCTCCAGGTCTTCCTGTCCTCTACCATCTTCTGGAGTCCATTTAAGTTCACACCTACTGCTTCAGTGATTCCATCCAGCCATCTCATTCTCTGTCGTCCCCTGCTTCTATTGCTCTCAATCTTTCCCAGCATGAGGCCCTTCTCCAGTGAGACCTTCCTTCTCGTTAGGTGGCCAAAGTACTTGAGTTTCAACTTCAGGATCTGGCCTTCTAAAGAGCAATCGGGGTTGATCTCCTCTAGGACTGACCGGTTTGAACGCCTTGCAGTCCAAGGGACCCGCAGGAGTCTTCTCCAGCACGAGAATTCAAAGGCCTCCATTCTTTGGCGCTCAGCCTTTCTTATGGTCCAACTTTTGCAGCCACACATTGCAACTGGGAAAACCATGAATTCTTTATAGCCTATCTGGAAGGAAGTGTGATGGTATATAGAAAAGACCTTGCGAGACAGGTTGAAGAGATGCTGCCTAGGAAATGGTCAAATAAGGGAGGGCGTAGCCTGCAGCTGGATAGTGGGTGGAGCAAGAAACTCAGAAGTCACCCTCTCTTGTTTCTCAAGCTGTAAAGGAGATGACAGAAGACCCGAAACATCAGACGTGCAAGATTCTGTTAATGTAGCTTTACAATAAAGGTGAATTAGTTTATCTGTTTATGGTTCCAGTCTGGTCTGGCTGGTGAGTCTGAAGGCAATTCGAGACATCCCCTGGAGCCCTTGGTATAGCCCAGGGGTAGGCAACCTTGGCTCTTTTATGCAGTGCTTTTTTTATAAAAAAAAAAAAGGTGCCGGAACTCACACACATCATACAACCCACTTTGCCTACCCTACAAGGTTCCATCCAAAAAAGGTGCCGGAACTCCGTTCTGTGCGTTGTGTGACAAAAAAAGCCCTGCTTTTATGACTCTTGGACTTCAACTCCCAGAATTCCTCAGCCAGCCTGGCTCAGCTTGGAAATCTCTCCCTTTCCCCTCAGCATGGTTGGCTCAGGAATTCTGGGAGTTGAAGTCCACAAGTCATAAAAGAGCCAAGGTTGCCTACCCCTGGTTTAGCCTGTGTTCATACAATACGCAGCTATTTACATATGTAATTTATCAAAGTTAGTTGATATTAACCTGAGTAGTATCACATGTAAATAAACAGGTCCATATGTGAAGAGTAGATTTTAGGCTTTCTTGCTCAAACCAATGGACTAGAACCTTTTCAGACTAACAGTTTGCTCCTGGATAAAACTAAATAAGATTCAAAGGCACTCAAGAGGGATTGGACTTCACCCTATATAAAGACTCTAAACTAATTCCCTATTTGACTCTTCCCCTGACTCTGCCAGTCTCTCTTCGACAGGTCAATGGTTTTGGTTTGGTCCTAATCTATTATGTGAATCCAATCCAGTAAGCTAAGATAGATCTGGCTGTATTAGTCAAACCCAGAAAAAGAATTAGTGTTTTTTGTGAAAGCAACACTGAGCTCCCATTCTGTGGAGCTACAAGTACCTCAGAAGAAAAATGAGAACAGAAGGAATTATTAACATTAATCAAATCCTCTCCCATCAGATAAATCCCCCCCCCACCAAAGTTGGTAAAGAATTTCTGTTCTTTTAAGAGGTGAGTGAAAATGACATCATTTAGGGTGATGGGGGATTATGTGCAAGGAGATAGCCAAGACTATATTTACTATTTCTTCTGCTCATTAGACAAAGAAAAAAGCTAAACCATTCCTCCAAGTTGCAGCTTGTCTGTGCCCTAATATTCATCTTTGTAAAATTGCCCCAGGAACAACTCTTCAGAAGCTACCAGAATAATTATTTTCTCAGCAAATGCCATTCCTCCCTCCCAAGAATGCTGCTGGGAGCAATTATACATTTTCACTTACTACAACTTCCTGAGACATTTAGACTGCCAAACCCAGCTCAAGCACTATTTAGAGCAACGACGTCCCTCTTAATTATTTAGGAGGGAGAGGTTCCACCACCCTTGGGTGCTATGTTAAAATGAAAACCCTCCCCCCCTCTGATCTACCGGGGATCAATCATAATCTTCTTCCCACGGACTCTCCCCCTCTCACCTTGAACATCTGGATGAGATGCCATCAGCAGCAGTGCCCACTGCAGAGTGATTGCAGTTGATTCTGCACTGGAGATAAGGAAGTTGAAAATGCATTCAGCCAGGTTCTCTTCATTATAGGCAGAATTCTGGCCACCTTTGTTCTGTTTGTGACAAAAGGGGTGGAAATGTTATTTAAAAGTTAATGCCCGGTGTTCCAAACTTTGCCGTATCGTCTGTGGGGCTCCCTATTTTACAAGATGATTTGTTTGTGTTGTTCGTCCATCGATTTTGATGAAGACCTTGACATCTTGTGGGTTATGGGCCATCAACGATGTATCTGTAGATGGCTAATAAGACCGATGATACACTCACTAGAAATGTACCTTGATCTTTGGTGTCTCTGAGCTTGGTTTTTTGGCTGCAGACATTTCATTACCCAACTAGGTAACATCACGAAACATCATCAAGCCAACAATCAAACCCAAAGAGCACCAAGGACTCCACAGTTCAGCTCTGAACTATAGAGATTTTCTCTTCTGTTGGAACGATGATCTTTGCAAACATTTTGGGAGCTTAGGAAAACATTTCTCGGATCCTGTTTTAAGGACCCTTCCCATCTTATACCTCCCCGACAACCTCCCATTTATGCCCTATTTTTGTGAATGCCTTTAAAACTGCACTGGTGTTAAAGAAGTGTCTCCCCTCCCCTTGTTCCAACACAGTTTTTGCCATGGGCTTCAACACCCATTGTGACAGCGATGCAGTGAGGTGAACCAAAATGAGAGAATTGACCAATTTTGTATTGGCATCTTTAAGCCAACAAAAGTGCGTATAGTCAAGGCCATGGTTTCCCAATTGCAATGTGTGGCTGTGAAATTTGGACCATAAGAAAGGCTGAGCGACAAAGAATTGAGGCCTTTGAACTATGGTGCTGGAGAAGACTCCTGTGAGTCCCTTGGACTGCAAGGCGTTCAAACCGGTCAGTCCTAGAAGAGATCAATCCTGACTGCTCTTTAGAAGGCCAGATCCTGAAGTTGAAACTCAAATACTTTGGCCACCTAATGAGAAGGAAGGACTCACTGGAAAAGGGCTTAATGCTGGGAAAGATGGAGGTCAATAGAAGCAGGGGACGACAGAGAATGAGGTGGCTGGATGGAGTCACTGAAGCAGTAGGCGTGAGCTTAAATAGACTCCAGAAAATGGTAGAGGACAGGAAGGCCTGGAGGAACGTTGTCCATGGGGTCACGATGGGTCAGACACAACTTTGCAATTAACAAAAACAAAACAAGCTAGTATGACTCCTGCCTTTTCTTCCCTTTCCTCCAAGTCCAAATTGTTTTGGCTACAGCACCAGGGCTTTCTTTGTCATAGAACGCCCAGAACAGAGTTTTTGGATGGAACCTTGTAGGGTAGGCAAGGCAGATTGTATGACATGTGTGAGTTCCGGCACCTTTTTTTTTTTTTTTTACAAAAAAAGTACTGTACAGGACAGATTACACATCTGGCTTTGGCAGATGTGTCAGCCTGCCTAGGGGCTAACTGGTCTGTGGAGAAGCATGGTTCTTGTCATTTGCTGATTATCAGGGTTTTTTTGTCTCTTTTCTTTTCAAATCTAGGGCAGTGTGGATGTAGTTATTCATGCTTGCCTAATGTAATTTAACTATCTTTGGCTAGAGACCCCTCAGTTCCTACGTTATTTGGTAGAGAAGGACAGGGGCATTATATCCAGATTCTTCCATATTCTGTTGACCAGCTTTGTTTTGCTCCTCCAAGTACTTCACATCTTACAAAATGGATCCTGGCTGTAACATTAAATCCTTATTTATCTTGCCATAGTTACAACACAGCCCAGTGGCCTATTAGTGGCAGAAACCTTGGATGACACGCCTATAATTTAGTTATCTTGTTTTCTCCTGTGATTACACCTCCCCTGAACTTTTCAGAGAGATTGCAATGGTATGTGAGAATGACCTTGGGAGACAGGGGAAACAGCCACAATCAGGGAACAATCAGATAAGAGGCAGCTTAGCCCAGAGAAGAAATGCAGGCATGGCATGGCAAAGATTTCAGAAGAGACCTTCCCTAGTTCCCTGGATTGGAAAAGCAAGGGAAGAAAAACATACTTTCAGATTTGAAAGATTCTGTTACAACAATCTTATAATAAAGTAGAATTAGTTCTTCCAGTTGTATTTCCTGTCTGGACTACCTCACAAGGTTAACAAGCACTGTCTTAACTCAATCACATCAAATTTTAGGAAATATGGTGGCAGCAAGGTGAAAAACACAGAACTTTTCTGCAAGCGTGTGATGTTAAAAAGCAGCATGACTAAATCCTTTATTTCTCATCATTGTAAGCCTTGCTTATGAATAAATGCAATGATGTTCAAGGTAGCATACTGATGGAGACACTGAATTTACATCCACAGTTCTTTCTCTTCATTGTTCCATTCAGAAATCTATTGATCCTATGTTTATGCCCCTTGTGGGGTGATATCTGAATGCCCCTTCAAAAACTTTTAAGAAGTCATAATAACATCTTGCAATTCCACTAGGAGTAAAAACCAAGGATGTTGCAGTGGAGTAGAATTTCACATGTTCTTCATCTACTGGTGGTGCCCAGGTGACAACTTATTTTTATCCCACCCCAAAAGATAAAGTTGGAATAAACCCCATTCCCCTATAACTACAAGGGCAAATGTGATTTTTGCAATAGATCAGACTTAGAATGATTTAGGATCTTTGTTCTTATCTCCATATTTTATTCTGTTTTGCCAGTTACAAGCTGCTTTATCCCCCCTCCCCCCAGTGTGAAAACACTCAAATCTCTACCGATGGCAAATCATTGGTTGTATAGTAGATTTTGATGAAAAGAGCATATAATTTTAATGGACAAAAGCATTTAAGCTTCAAAGTTTTTTTCAACTCAGAATCTTCACTGACATTCAGTCTCGAATCTTCACTTATAAATAGCCCAGAACCAAATGAACATGAGAAATGACCATCTCCTTTCGTAATCTGATTATTCTATGATTCTTCATCTAGACCAGTGGTTCTCAACCTGTGGGTCGGGACCCCATTTGGGGTCGAACGACCATTTCACGGGGGTTGCCAAACAAGGCTGTCCGCCATTTTCCCCCCCTTTTCTTTGGCCACGGTCCTGGCACCCGGTGATGTATAAGTGGTTGGGGGTCACCACAACATGGGGGACTGTATTATGGGGTCGCAGCATTAGAAAGGTTGAGAACCACTGATCTAGACAGATACATTATGGATACATTTGCAAAGAGTCTGGAGAGCCATGTTACAAATACTCTGATTTGGATTCTTGCGCTGAGCAAGGAGTGTAAATCAATAGCTCCTTCCAACGCTTTGATTCTACACAAATAAAATCCCAATACCAACCAGCTATTATTTAAACTTCCTAGTTGTCCAATGACACTCACAACTCATGTTCTTCAATGCGATTCAGAGGTATCCACAATTTTTGATTCTTTTTCCAAGTATTTCCAACCCATGTTTATTTGTGAATAATCTTCCGTTGTAATGGCAAAGAGAAATGAGGGAAAATGCAACAAGCAAGAGTTCTAAAAATAACTTCTTGGCTTTTAAAAAGAACTAGGAGTAAGAAAATAAGAATAACAGAGTTGGATGGGACCTTGGAGGTCTTCTAATCCAAGCTCCTGCTCAAGCAGGAAACTCTTTACCATTCCAGACAAGTGGCTGTCCAGTCTCTTCTTTAAAACTTCCAGTGTTGGAGCATTCACCGCTTCTGGAGGCAGGTTGTTCCATTGGTTAATTGTTCTAACTGTCAGGAAGTTTCTCCTTAGTTCTAGGTTGCTTCTCTCTTTGATGAGTTTCCACCCATTGCTTCTTGTCCTGCCTTCAGGCGCTTTGGAGAAGAGCTTGACTCCCTCTTCTTTGGGGCAGCCCCCGAGATATTGGAAGACTGCTATCATGTCCCCCCTCGTCCTTCTCTTTGTTCAACTAGACATACCCAATTCCAGCAACCGTTCCTTATAGGTTTTAGCCTCCCTCTTCTTTGTGTCAACCCCTAAGATACTGGAACACCACTATTGTGTCATATTAAGAAACTCGTACTTACTTTCTCCATTTGTAACAGATAGAAATCCGTGAAATCGTGTGGCTCCTTCACTGCCTGTGCTTCTTTATGTTTCTGTATTGCCTTCTTTATAAAGGAAAGCACCAGCTCCTTGCTAGACAGGGCATTTTTGTGTGGCCCTGGGAAATAGTTCGCGAGCCACGAGAACTGTTTATGTAACTATAGAGAAAACATAAGCAAAGTAAAGTCACTATCAAGGATCCCAAGCCTGGGCTCAACCCACACGCCCAATTCATGGTCTGTTTTTGTTGCTTCCCTCGGGGAGGAGGTTCCGAAGTATTTCCAGCAAGACTACCAGATTCTGTAATAACTTTGTTCCCTATCTAGTCCAACCCTATACCATTCCAGACAAAGGGGTGGTCCAGTCTGTTCTTGAAAACTCCCAGAAGAATGGCTGATCTTGTCTCGGTCTACTCCAATCACAAACTCTACTTGGGAGAAGATGAGATTACAGTTCTTTTCACCTTCACCTAAGGCAGGGGTAGGTCAACCTTGGCTCTTTTATGACTGGTAGACTTCAACTCTCAGAATTCCTGAGCCAGCCATGCTGAGGGAAAAGGGAGAGGTTTCCAAGCTGAGCCATGCTGGCTCAGGAATTCTGGGAGTTGAAGTCCAGTCATAAAAGAGCCAAGGTTGCCTACCCCTGACCTAAGGTCATCACAATGGCTCTCAAAAAGCTTTGGGTCTGTCTCAGTAACAAAGCAAAGAATAACTTACAACATAAGCAAAGCTCCCTCCAGATTTTACAGCAGATTCAAGGGCGTCTGTCACTTGTTGGCGATCTTTGTCTTCAAGAGGGGATCGGTTGCCAAAACTCACAGTCCAGACCATTTTGCAAAGGGAAGCGGTGATGGCGTTCAAAGGGTCAAATGGCTGCCCTGCAAAGGAAGTGATTGACAAATATTTTCCGCTTTCTTCTTAACATAGGTAATCCTTGAATTACAACCATTTGTTTAGTGACCATTCAAAGTTACAACGGCACTGGAAAAAAGTGATTTCTGACCGTTTTTCACATTTGCGACTGTTGCAGCATCCCCCATGGTCATGTAATCAAAATTCAGACACTTGACAACTGGTTTCATATATTTATGATGGTCGCAATATCTTGAGGCCGTGTGATCACCTTTTGCGACCTTCTGAGAAGCTAAATCAATGGAGAAGCCAGATTCATTCAGCAACAGTATTAGTAACTTAACAACTGTGGCAAGGAAGGTCATAAAATGGGGCAAAACTCACTTAACAAATTTCTTGTTTAGCGAGGGAACTTTAGGACTTGATTGTGATCTTAAGTTGAGAATTACCTCTATCTGCTTGGAATTCATGGTGGAATTGACCAATTTATATGGGTATGTGTGTGTTTGTGTGTGTGTGTGTGTGTTAAATTTTAGATTTTTGCTGACAAAGAATTAAAGGGAGACTAGTATTGCTATTTCAAGCTGTTTAGCTCTCATCAGCTAATACAGCTTGAAATAGCTATACTAGCCTCCCTTTAATTCTTTGTCGGCAAAAATCTAAAATTTAACACAGAAATAGTTTGTCATAGTAGCGTCTGCCTGTAAAAGCTCCTAGATTGGGACTGAAAGGCGAAAGCAATAGTAGATTGCTCCGTCCCATATTTGGGTAGACCAGATGCTTTGTTATACCGGTAACAATTGTTGTATTAGAATATAACCAAAAAGATGCCAAATTGTATTTCAAAGCATGCAGAGACTCCATGAACACTTGAGCAGAGCAAAATAAGAGCCGATGTAAACTCCTAGTGCAGTGTTTCCCAAACTTGACAATTTTAAGGCATGTGGACTTCAACTCCCAGAATTCTGTGTTGAAGTCCTCATGCCTTAAAATTGTCAAGTTTGGGAAACACTGTCCTAGTGCTACTTACCATTTACACGGGCAAAAGTCTCCACCAGCCGAGGGCCTTCCTCTTCAATCTGGCTCTCCACTGTTTTCTTTTCTTTCTCGCCTTTCAACAAAATTAGCTGCCCAATTTCTCTTTGCTGCTTCCAGATATCCCCACCTAAAAAATACCAGATTAAGAAGTACAAGAAGTAAAGCAACGACGGAGAGCAAAATAAATAAATCATAGAAAAATAATAATAATGCATTATATTCTCTCAACAACCCCCCCCCCCAAAAAAAGGTAGTTCATATCCAGGACAAAAGAATCTGTTGGTTACATTTTCTCACAAATTTTCTGTCTTACATTTGTGTGTGTGTGTTTCCCCCCTTGTATTTTGCATTAGCAAAACAAATGAGCAATGTGAGCCCCATCTCCTGTATGCAGTGGAGCTGTTCAGCCTAATACTCCAAGGAAAAGAGATGGAAATATAGAGTGTCTGAAAAATAAGAATTTTCATTATAGAACTCAGTGGTAGAGTCCCTAATACAGACTGGCTGCCAACACACGAACTGCATCCAATATGCCTCCCTGACTAAGGGAGAAGTCATTAATTTGAAGCGCCTAAAAGTTACAAATAGAAAGAACTGATGTCTGTGGGAAGGTCTAATTCAGGGGTCTTCAGACTTGGCCCTTTGATGACTTGTGGACTTCAACTCCCAGAATTCCTCAGCCAGGCACAGTGGCTGAGGAATTCTGGGAGTTGAAGTCCACAAGTCATAAAAGGGCCAACTTTGAAGACCCCTGGCCTAATTCATCTATTTATTTGTATCCCATAGAAGTTAATCCTATATTCAGTTAACTTATTCTGTTGGCTCTAGATCACTCCCAGAATTCCCCAACCAGCAGCATTTCTCAGCCTTGGCCATTGGAAGATGGGTGGACTTCAACTCCCAGAATTTCCCAGGCAGCATCATGCTGGCTGCGGAATTCTGGGAGTTGAAGTCCACACATCTTCCAGATCGGAAACACTGAACTAATGTTTCCAAAGAGACGTCTAGCACAAATACTTCCATATTTTATAAACACTTACCATTGTTATTGGCTATGCTATTGTAAGGAGTCATAGAGGTCTCAGAGGTGTCATTTTGTTCTTTCAACTGCTGTTTGGATCAAGATAAAAAGTAAGTGTTATTCTTGGATGGGGGGGGAGGTTCCAAGTAAAAATTAAATTTTCAGCTTCTCCTGCTGGGAAACTTTCAATTCTGCTCACCTCTGTTCACAAGTTTGAAAGTAATGAGAATGTTCTTTCCTAGTTTTAGTTTTAGAGAACAAATAAACAAGATTGCAGGATGTAACAGAATAACAGAGTTGGAAGGGACCTTGGAGATCTTCTAGTCCACTCCCCTGCTCAGGGAGCAAACTCTGTACCATTTCAGACAAATACTTGCCCAGTCTTTTCTTAAAATCCTCCATTGTTGGAGCACCCACAACTTCTGGAGGCAAGTCATTCCACTGATTAATTTTTCTCACTGTCAGGAAATTCCTCCTTAGCTCTAGGTTGCTTCTCTCCATGATGAGTTGCCACCTGTTGCTTCTTGTCCTGCCTTCTGGTGCTTTGGAGAATAGGTTTGTGGCAACCCCTTAGATATTGGAACACTGCTATCATGTCGCCCCTAGTCCTCCTTTTCATTAAACTAGACAAACTCAGTTCCTGCGGCCATTCTTCATATGTTTTAGCCTCCAGTCCCTTAATCGCCTTTGTTGCTCTTCTCTTCTCTCTTTCTAGAATCTCAACAATGCAAGAAAGGATTTCCCGCGTTCATTCCATATAGCAAATACAGCAAGTTAATTTACTTAGCTGACTCTTTTTCAACCTACCTACAGATACTGTATCCTATAAGTTCCAAATATTTTAATTACTATGACAAGTTCTTGAAGGCAGTTTCAAAAACACACATACTTAATCTTCCCTCTCCTAACAGTTTATTCATATCATGACCTACTGGCCACAAGGGGGCAATGGAGTTGTAGGTAGCATTAAGGATTTGTTTTGTGTTCCCTCTTAGACAAAGAGCAGCTGGAGAGATAAACAACGTTTATCCATCCATACTTTTACTCTGCTGTAGACAAGATGTAGGTAGCTAGGTGCTAGGATTTGCCTGGCTCTATACCAGTATTTCACAATCTCAGCCAATTTAAGATGTGTGGACTTCAACTCCCAGAATTCTTCAGCCAGCCATTGTCGGCTAGGGAATCCTGGGAGTTGAAGTCCACAGATTTGCATAAACCTTCAGAAATTCATTGATCGTTGCTCAGATGATTCTCACAAATGCTCACATGCACAAACAGGATGTTTCCAGTTCCATCGTTCAGGTTCATGTAACTCTTAGGTGGTAAAAAGGAAAAGGACCAAGATGGAGCATGAAAGAGTCACAGGCTTCTCTCCAAGGAGCTAGGGATCCACACCTTCAACCCTATAATAGCCCTTCAAGTAGGTAAAAATTGCACTCCGCTCTCCTTTTAATATCCCCTTGTTTAAAGCTACACAGTCCCGACAGCACTGATCTTAGGAAGCTATCATCTAGTGCAGGGGTGGGGAACCTTGGCTCTTTTAGGACTTGTGGACTTCAACTCCCAGAATTGGCTGGCTCAGGAATTCTGGGAGTTGAAGTCCACAAGTCCTAAAAGAGCCAAGGTTCCCAACCCCTGATCTAGTGCAACAGAAGCGTTGACGAGCTTGAATCCCATTACAAAATATGGCATACAATTTTTCTGTCTACCAACCACCTGCCTTTGTTCCTCAACAAGACAAACTCTTGGAACAGCTAAGACCGAGTTCCTATTCACAGCAGCGTGACCTTTTAGCCAACAGTAATATTTTTAGAATCCCCTGACTTTGGAAGGAACCAAATTAAATATTCTCAATATCAATTTGAAAAAAGAATATTTGTAGCTCAAAGTTGAAATGGAAGGAACCAAATTAAATATTCTCAATATCAATTTAAAAAAAAGAATATTTGTAGCTCAAGGTTGAAATGAAGGGTCCTTGGTGCTCTCTGAGCTTGGTTATTTAATTTTATTTTATTTTTTGCAGACATTTCATTACCCAAACTAGGTAACATCATCCATCCCACTAGTGCTGATGATGTTACCTAGTTTGGGTAATGAAATATCTGCAAGAAAATAACTAAGCTCAGAAAGCACTAAGGGCCCCTCAGTATTCCCAATATCAGTGAATTCTTAGATCAGGAGTCTTCAAACTTGGCCCTTTTATGACTCGTGGACTTCAACTCCCAGAATTCCTGAGCCAGCATGGCTCAGCTTGGAAACTCTCCCTTTCCCCTCAGCATGGCTGGCTCAGGAATTCTGGGAGTTGAAGTCCACAAGCCATAAAAGACCCAAGGTTGCCTACCTGTGCACTAGGCAAACAGTTGGTTTATTCCTTATTGTGTGCCTGCTTACTCTCTTATACAGATAGTCCTCATCTAATATCCAGTCATTCAGTGACCATTCAAAGTTAAGGTGGCACTGAACAACTGGTACTTATGACAGATCCTCATAAATTCCAGCCACTGCAGCACCCCTATGGTCACACCATCACAATCCAGGTGCTTGGCAAATGGCTCGCACTATTTCAGTGTCATGAGAGCACGTGATCAGCTTTTGCAACTTTTCCTGCCTGCTTCCTACCAGCAACGTCAATGGAGAAGCTAGCAGGAATGACTGCAAGTCTGTAAGAGATGACCAGGCTGAGCCCAAGGGATGAGTCAAGCGCGTCACAAGTCACGAGTCCCTGCACCTTGGCAAGAGATCTAAGTCCATTTCATCTTGAATGCCTCTCTTATCTCCCACTTATTCCCCTTAACAGTCAATTGGTCAGATTCACATAGAGAGTTTAAGCTCGCAATAAATTTTTATACTCGTTTGAACTGCCTGAATCTCCTGATTTTCCCCAGTGCTTGACAAAGTCGCTCAACCAGTTTTTCTCCTGAGGAGCCTTGTTACGGAGTATGTGTTCCCAGGGATCTCATACCCAGTAGCGTGCTTGCACCACCTCACCTCTTCCCCTGCCCACGTGCATTTGCTGCAGTATCTCCATCTCACTCCATAGTACTCATGGGCCCTCTGGCCTGCTTGGGATTCACCTAGGACTTGCAATTTCCTGCTGGCTTCCTCATTGACTTTGCTTAGGGGAAGCTGTCAGGAAGTCCTAAGTTACGGTCATGTGACATCCTCACTTAATGAGCCATGATCTTTGTTTAACAAAAGCGATGGGCTCATGTGAGATCCTCACACAGTGACCCAATCATCTTTGCTTCAAAAATAGCAATGGGGACTGTCAGGATTGCTGTTTCTAAGCTATGCGGTCACATGGCATCATGCTTTACAACTCCATCATTTAGCAATGGCATGAAGAAGTTAATGTATGCCAGATCCACATCTGACATACTAGAATGTCTTTATTGTCATTGTGTAACTCAATATGAAATTAAATTAATAATAGAGAACCAGGATCAGAAAGTATCTGCTCAAAGATTCCCATCGACAACACCAGATTTAGACATTGTGAGGTCCTAAGCCAGTGATGGCAAACCTTTTAGAGACCGAGTGCCCAAAAACTGCCTCCACCCCACCTGCCTGCAGAACCACCCACTGCCTCCATGGCCCACTGCAGCAGATCGCCCAGGTGGCCCAGCAGTGTCATGGCTGCCATGCCCTCTGTCCGTGCCCCACAGCATCATCTGCACGTGATGGGGTGTGAGGGCGGAGTTTTCTCCCCACTGCCTGGCTGCCATGTCCTTGGCTGCGATGCTCCATGCAGGCCGCACCTGGGGGTGACTCTCCTCCTGGGGGCTGCTGGTGAGGAGGGGGCCATGGGGGGAGGTGGGGCTGGGGCAATGGCACGCGTACCCACAGAGAGGGCTCTGAATGCCCCCACTGGCACGTGTGCCATAGGTTCACCACCACTGTCCTAAGCTCTGAGAAGCTGTAGAGGCTCTATTTGCCAGGTGCTAATAGAGAATAAAACCCAGTAAGAGTGGACCTTGACAAGAATGCCATCAAGAGGCTTAAGAACTCTGAGTGGATGGAGAAAAACCCTCCTTAAACCAAAGGCGTAAATGGATATTGTAATCAAGGAGGGTCAAATGTCATTTCTGAAGACTTCCCTATATGAAATTAGAATAAAGCTGTAAGAGATCTGAATTTTAGAGAGACCCCTCTAAGAGGCTCTAAACTGTAGCTTGTTTAGCCTACGCCTACATCTGGCTTGGCCAGTACAACTGAAAGAACAATTCTGAGATCAGGTCTGATGGCATCTCTGCCCGTCTCTTTTTCTTCTTGAAGACTGAGCTCCAAGAAGTCTTTAAGGGATTCCTTCCCAGGGTTTGCAGCAATGTGCCCGAGGATGGCCCAGATCATTTGAACCAACATTACCTTTCAATGAAAAATGATTCACGGTTATCTCCCCAAATCCTTTAACTCACCAAACTTAACAGATTTAATATAGCAGTTAATTGAGAAAGGTTACCTTGGACAGAGTCTCTTGGTAAAGCCTGAGGCCAGCTTGCCATAAGCTTCCGGTGGCAGGCAATGGAAGCCAGCCCGAAGGATAATGACCACGAAACCAGAATTGTCTTAGGAGGTAGAGCATCAAAAGGCTCAGAAGAATAGCAACTGACAAGAGTTCTGTTACAGACATTCTCCTTTTCCCTCTTTTTCTTTGTCAGGATTTGTCAAGTTACATGTAGATGTGCTGAACCTTCTCCCTCTGGCCTCACAAGCCTTTCCAGTTCTTTCAGTCAGCCCACGACTCCCTTTTAAATGAAAGTACAAAATCACTTACATCATTACACTAATAAGCAAGCCTGCAAGATCAGCTGCCAGGTATTAAAACCATTAAGGTTCAAACAATTTAATGTTTACCACACCATCCACGTGCACCTAATCACGTATGGTTAATTCAAGCACGCATTGCTCATAGAATTGAAGGAGCTGGAAGGTAGGTCTAATATTGAAGGCAAGTAAAATTCACAGGTCCAATTTGGCATTATGTGATCTAAAATATTTACCTAGCAGATAGTCATGGGTTGCATTCGCACAACACACTTAACACGATAACTGATCTAGACCGTTTTCTGAGTTTGTAGATTCCTTGTATGTACGGTATGTGTGTGCACATGTATGTGCACTTTTGAGTCAGTGAGGTAGTTCTCAAGTTATGATTATAAGGGTGCCTGACCATCATAGCCGTACGTCACAATGTTTGTATGAGGTCAATTCAGAAATAAATTGGTTATCCATGACAGATACTCCCAGATACAGAACTTGTATTATACACATTAGAAAACTACAACATTTACTTTTTGACATATTTGCCATTCAAATTGAGGCATTTGTCATGTAAGACAAAGTTTGAAATTCCTTAGTAATAGTCACTCGGTGCCAAATTTGGACTATGGGTCGTGGTTGACCAAAAACATCCCAATGGAACTGCTTTAAAAGTTCTTGAGTGCATCTAGCAGTGTGTAGGCGAGCACTGTCATGAACCAACACCACACCGGAAGTCAGCAGGCCCTGACGCTTGTTATAGATGGCTCACCTGGGTTTTCGTAACGTTTCACAGTAGAGGTCTGAATTGATGGTTGAACCACTCTCCACGAACTTCACTAGCCGTATTCCTTTGGCATCTTCACATTTGGTGAGATATTCCATGGCACCATTTCTGGTGTGGGAAGTGGGAACTGTGGGAAGAAAGATCATAAAATGGGGCAAATCTCAATTGGTCTCAATTGTGTAGTCCAGGACTACCTGTACCATGGTGCCTTGCCCCCATCAATGTCCTCTCCACCTCTGATCTTCCCCACATGCTCCAATAGAAAGTTAGACTGTTCTCCCGAAACAAAATTAATTGGGTTTGTTCCTACTAAATTCTTGAGATCAATCAGAAAAATCATCTTCTACATACTCCCAACAGCACAAAGCATATTCTTTGGCATACTCTAAAACAGTGGTTCTTAACCTGAGCGATATTGCTCCCCAGGGGAAGATTTCATTTTTCAGGGGGGCGATGGAACAAAAAGGAATGATGTGGGGGCAAAGGAACGAAAAGGGGGAGATATGGGGGCGATGGAGTGAGACGTTTTGGGGACACTTTTGAGACTATTTCATACAGTGAATCGCTGCATATCTGTCGTACAAAAACATCAGATCGCTCGCTATTAGTGGATTGAATTGTGTTTTCAAATGTTCCTCCAGCTAGCTTCAGTACAGAACGCCGTACATATGTGAATACGCATTGCTTATCTTCATGCGCATTGCGCAGCAGCCTCTACCCTTTATATATATATATTTTTTGCGTCTTAAATTTCACTTGTAATTCAATCATTAAATGTTAATGTTTTTCTTTTCAGGCATTTCACTTTCTTGCAACTGAATTTTGTTTTCAAAGTGGTCATTACATTTAAGTGTCTTGAATAAATAATATAATAATGAAATACATGTATCACGAAGTTTGGGAATAAAGTGACGGGTGGCACCAAAATTTTTCAAACAGTTGAGATATGGGGAAAAGACTGGAAATAAATTATTTGCATTGATATGTCCTGATGACAGTTTTAAAGAAAACAAAACAAGTGTTTGCATAAATTGAAGAATTCTTTCCTATGTTGTGATTGAGAGGTTATGTTGGGGGAGGGGGGCGATGACAACTTCCTCATTGGCTCAAGGGGGCGATTCGTTCAAAAAGGTTATGAACCACTGCTCTAAAAGAGAATTACACTGTAGACTTAAAAATGATCCGTGCTTTATTTGACAAACATCTCCAAGGCATTGTTTCTAATTATCTGCTTTGTCCTTTCTAAGGACCTTTGTTTAGTCATAGGACAAATTCTCAAAGTAGGCAGTAAATTTGTCGCAGAGAGACGATCAAAGGTGAAATACAAATGAGGCACACCAGGACATGTAAAAACAGGCAATTAGCATAAGATAAGGCATGACATCTCTCTCTTTTTTAAAGAAACTTAATTGCCCTTGTTAAAACTGCTCAGACAGCCTTGTTGATTTACTACAAATCAGAACAAGGATGGCCGAGTCTGTATTAGAATATCGGAAAGTAGAAAAACCTGTGGCAAAAATTATTGTACACAAGAAGCTGCCTATAGTGGAAGATTGCAAACAAAAAATCAATTGAACCTGCAAAAATGATAAGTATTTTAAAAAAAAAAAGACTGGAAACCTTACATGGACTTTTTTGCTGAAAGACGAAAAAAGTGAATTGATGATTAGAGGATTTGGGAATTAAAAATGAGACAAAGAGCTTTGGGAAAATTTTAAGGACAATAATTTAATAGAAAGGAGACAAAATCATTTTTTTTCTTTTTTTCAATTTCTTTTCTGTTTCTCTATTTTTTATGTTATGTCTTGTATATATCAAAGCATTTGGAATCTTCATTCTCTTTCAGGTCAGTTCTTCTTACTATCGCGATGTAAGGAAGGCTGATTGTTGGAGATTCAGAAAGTTGAATGATTTTTGTATAGGCCGCCTTTGGCGGTTTCAACTTTCTGAAAAGAGTTTTTGTGACTGCTAAATGTAGATACTTTATGCCAGAGGAATTGTAATGAGAGTGCTCTTCAACATCTTCATGAACAATTTGGACGAAGGGATAGATGGGGAACTAATCAAATTTGCAGACGACACCAAGCTGGCAGGAATAGCCAACACTCCAGAAGACAGGCTTAAGATACAGAACGATCTGGACAGACTTGAACACTGGGCATTAACTAACAAAATGAAATTCAATGGTGAAAAAAGCAAGGTTCTACATTTAGGCAAGAAAAACCAAATGCACAAGTACAGCATAGGTGGCATCATGCTCAATAGTAGTAACTATGAAAGGGACCTCGGAGTCCTAGTGGACAATCACCTAAATATGAGCCAGCAGTGTGCTGCAGCTGCCAAAAAAGCCAACACAGTGCTAGGCTGCATTAACAGAGGGATAGAATCAAGATCACGTGAAGTATTAATACCACTCTTACAATGCCTTGGTAAGGCCACACTTGGAATACTGCATCCAGTTTTGGTCACCACGATGTAAAAAAGATGTTGAGACTCTAGAAAGAGTACAGAGAAGAGCAACAAAGATGATTAGGGGACTGGAGGCTAAAACATATAAGGAACGGTTGCTAGAACTGGGTATGTCTAGTTTAACGAAGAGAAGGACAAGGGGGGACATGATAGCAGTATTCCAATATCTCAGGGGCTGCCATAAAGAAGAGGGAATCAAGCTATTTTCCAAAGCACCTGAAGGCAGGACAAGAAACAATGGGTGGAAACTAATCAAGGAGAGAAGCAACCTAAAACTACGGAGAAACTTCCTGACAGTGAGAACAATTAATCAGTGGAACAACCTGCCTCCAGAAGCAGTAAATGCTCCAACACTGGAAGTTTTTAAGAAGAGACTGGACAGCCAAGAGACTGTCTGAAATGGTGTAGGGTTTCCTGCCTGAGCAGGGGGTTGGACTAGATGACCTCCAAGGTCCCTTCCAACTTTACTATTATTATTATTATATGGCACCATATACTGTATTTGGAATATTGGAATTGGAATATTGGAATATTCTTTATTGGCCTAGTGTGATTAGACACACAAGGGATTTGTCTCCGGTGCATACACTCTCAGTGTACATACAAACAACATGGTAAATCATAAGATAGAATCATAAATCATAAGATACAAACAAGAAGGGACAAATCATAAGATACCAACAGGATAAAGTGGTAGGAAAGATGAGAAAGGTAATAGCAATACAGCCTATCACATGGGTAAATATCTTTAGGCATAAGACAATCCTGTGGGAATTAGGTGGTTAGCAGTGTGATGGCACAAGGCAAAATAACTTCTTTGTGTTTAGTTGTTTTAGCATTTATTTGTAAATAAAAATACTATATACAGCGAGGGGGAAAATTTGATCCCCTGCTGATTTTGTACATTTGCCCACTGACAAAGAAATGATCTATAATTTTAATGGGAGGTTTATTTTAACAGTGAGAGGCAGAATAACAAGGGGAAAAAATCCAGAAAAATGCATTTCAAAAAAGTTATAAATTGATTTTAAAGGGAGTGCTCTTAATCTCAGCTTGTTGCCTGTATAAAAGACACCTGTCCACAGAAGCAATCAATCAATCGGATTCCAAACAACACCAACTATTGTCCCCTTCTCACCAAGTTGCTTGGCGATAGTCTTGTAGTCCATTCCAGCCTTGTGTAGGTCTACAATCTTGTCCCTGATATTCTTGGACAGCTCTTTGGTCTTGGTCATGCTGGAAAGTTTGGAATCTGATTGATTGATTGATTGATTGATTGATTGATTGATTGCTTCTGTGGACAGGGAGCCAGAAATCTTGCTGATTGATAGGGGATCAAATACTTATTTCACTCATTAAAATGCAAATCAATTTTTTTAAATGCATTTTTCTGGATTTTTTGTTGTTATTTTGTCTCTCACTTTTAAAATAAATCTACCATTAAAATTATAGACTGGTCATTTCTTTGTCGATGGGCAAATGTACAAAATCAGCAGGGGATCAAATAATTTTTTCCTCACTGTATATACTGTATTTGGCAGATGTCAGAAATGGACCTTTCCCTCTTCCTTCCTTCCTTCCTTCCTTCCTTCCTTCCTTCCTTCCTTCCTTCCTTCCTTCC